TAAACATAGCGAAGACAGTTTCTACCTCAACGAGAGTGGCGCTCGTAGAAACCGCGCGTACGTACGGTCAGCAAAAACGGCGCGCCGCCGTGGCCGTGGAGCGTTGGCAAAACGACGCTCTCGGTCCGCGTCCACTTTTACTTTCGCCGACGTCCATTCACCTGGGCGGCATTCACTGAGGACCGCCCCAGATACCAGGCGGCCCGTGTTTACTTGAACCCTCGGCACTACGTCGTGGCCCAGTTTTTGCGACGGAATGCGACACGAATTGAAACGCGAAGTCGAACGGACGGCTTTCGGAGGAGAAGAACGTTTATGCGCTCCATTGCAAGTGTTTCACATTAAGACAATTCGGGTTGGTAAAAAATATAATGAATCGAACCGTATACAATTGAAGTATGGGCAATTGTGTACATTGTTATGAAAAATTTTATTCACTTAAAAATATTTTTAATTGATATTGTAAAATGCGTCACCAGTGAAATGATAAATAGTTAAGCAAAATTCGGAGGAAACTTACTTTAAGGCTATTAATTATGTTACTACCTAATATGTTACTGAGTGCCCAGAGTTTCAATTATGGTGCCTGCGCCAATGAAGTTCTTATTTATGTTTTGATTCCATATAGTGAACAAAAACTTGATTAGAAAACTTACCTATTTTTAACACAATTAAAAATAAATTGTATATTCGAGAGATATAGTAAGTCTGCCATTTGCCTTAGTATATATTGCACACTATGTACTAATACCTAGTGTCTGGAGGCCTTTCAATAAAATTGGGGTATATGTTGTTTCTTAACTCATAACTTGATTTGCATAACAAATTTTCCTTATTGAATATACTTTAATTGTATACAACAAGTTGATGTGTTCGGTAAATGATAAATTTAACTTGATCTACATAGAATAAATCTACCTAAGTTATCCTTCGTCAACTTTGCGGTTAATAATTAGGCATAATAGTTTCATTACCCTTCTGCCTTCTTCTCTTAAATTGCACTTTTCCATGTTTATGAAACACCTATAATTGGAGCTTACTTATTGTCAGCTATTTTTCATGTATAGTTTACTGTTACTACAGCAGACTTGTAACAATTTATTTTATTATTCAGACAACAAAGTTTAATGTAATTAATCCTTTTTATTATTGACGGTTGCTTAGGACTTTATTGATTGTCTCCAAATCATTTTGTTTACAAACATTCCTTATTCTAAACAAAATGATTTAGAAGAAAACTTATATATTTACAAAAACATTAAATTTTATACCCTTTGTTTAGTCATTAAAGTTGTTAAATGTTTGTGTAAAACAATATTTTCCTTTATTTGGTGCTATGGTCACACAATTTCATATCTAAATATTACTAATGATCTGGTTTAACAAAGAAACTAAGATGTCAAACCCTAATTAGTATGATATCAGTAGTATAAACAAAAACATAAATTACTTTGAGGCAAAGTATACTTTTAAAACTTAATTAGCAATTACTCTAAAGTCTGTTTTGGTATCAGAAAATTGTCATGCATTGTAATTGTTATCCAAGGTGCACTTCATAACAACATTAAAATTTTTAGTTTTAAAACTCCTCAACTAAGATCATCTTTATTGTGATTGACAAATATTACTCTAACTGTTAACAAACATTTAAGTAATATGAACTATACCAGCAATGGAAAATGTTTTATTGAAATGTTATGATCAATTAAGATTGATTGAAATGTTGTTTGATATGTATATGCTCCTATTTTGATATGGGAAGATGTAATAATAACAATACATAAGAATAACAACAAATTAATAGTTAAGAATGATTTTAGGAAAACAAAGTCTAACCTGTCCTTTAACCACTCAACAAAATAGTACAAACTTTTCTTTACAGTATTTTTAATGTTGTTTAAACATTGTTTGCATAAAACAGAAACAATAAAGATATGTGGAATTTTCCCTACAACATGTGTCCTATTTTAGATTGGATTGATAAATGTTATCTAATAATCCAGTTTTCATGTTACAATGATATAGATATGAATAGATTAAATTTATAAAAAAAAAACATCTATATGAAAAACCAGAATGGATGTCTTGTCTATGATTGACACATTGAAGTTGTTCTCGTTTAGATTAAACTCTGAGAAAGTATTAACATAGGTACCATTTAGAATGTACAATAATTTCAAGGTTATCTACTTGAAAAAAGGACACTAGCCAGCAAAGTTATAGCCATTACAAACCAGCACGTTTGATGTTATAAATGGGTTGTTTGTACGCAAAATTTTTCAAAATATTAGAATAATACCTGAAATCCAAACTAAGGTTCCGTTGATGCGTCGCGACCTTTGGGCTCCTAAGATCGCTCCGACTCCCGTGCACAGGGACATCCTCCAACATGCTCACGCACTGATTATAAACCACAAAAGTACACCCATAACAGAATTAGTGTTGAATCAACTATATGACAACATGGCGCCGATACGGTACATCAGCGTTTATTGTCCTCTTTGTACCGAAGGTAAATATTCTATTGCTAATAATTCGTTTAATGAATGCTCACAATTTAATTACTCACAGCCTTTTATTCGCTACAACTTGGCAACTTCAACGAGAAAGATTACAACTTTCCTAAGTTCCACTTCCAAGAATTTAGTGATATTGTAATAATTTGATAAACAATAAACATAGAATGTGGTTAAATGTACGACAATACGGAAAGAATTTATAAAAAAAATAAATTCGAAATTAATGAAATCGATGTGACTGTCCGAGGCGACATAGGTACTAATATTTTTTATTTTGTTGCCTGACACGCACAATTATGGTAGACGGTTTTTCCAACTATGCACACACGGTGCTATTTATAACATAACAACACAGTAAGTTAGATACCTATGTGAAAAAGCGGACCTACATAATAACACGATAGAGAAACTGAGAAACACAGAGTACCAGCGTGTTCGTGTTTAAAATACTGCCGATCCAGATTAAATAAATGTTGCCATTTCTTAAACTCATTTCTCTTTCCTTGTATTCATTCAATATTCAATAGAAATTATTTTCTTTTTATATCTCATGTTAAAATAAAGATAAAATGTGTTATTTTTAACACTTTATTGTTTTATATATTATAATAATAACTTTAGCTTACTTAAACTTATTGATCCATTAGTACTGATACGGCTAAAATCAACACCATAAAAAGATATGGGCAAATTTAGATTTTCGCGAAAACTTGTAATTACTGAAATTTACCCTAATTTTCATTTTTTTTTTCGGAATTTTCCCTTTACTCGTTTTGTAAGACCTTGCTTTTAACTAAAATTGACAATTCTAGGTCAACCGGAAGTACCCTAAAGATTTTGAATTGAAAACCTATATGGTAGTTCCCGTTGAAATTATAATCTTAGAATCACGAAATTTGGCAAAAAGCAAGATTTACTGCACAAATACCGGAAATACCCTAAAGGTTTTAGGTCGTAAACCTATTTGAACAATCCGTTAATAGTAAGTGCCATCACCTAATAACCCGTACCGTTAGGTACGCTCCGCCGCAATTGGCGTAGACGGTAGATCGTGTCACGTTCTCGATTCCCCTGAAGATGAGACGACTATCGCCTTCGACAGGATTAAACAGATGAGCAAACACACCAAAACATACCGCACTCGCCGGCGAGTGCGGCAAACACATACTAGGTTCCCCCACGTACCTGGTAGGTTTTTCTGAAGTTTTCTCCGCCACATCTCCCAGCGCCAACACGTTCCGAAGTGGTAATACCAATAGCTATAGAAATCCTCTTAGTCCGATTTCTGCTCTTGTATCTTGTATTAGCTGATGTTTTTGCTTTCAGTCCCGAGACTATTAAAGCTTCATCTGACGCAGAACCAGTGGGCTAGCCAGAACCCACGGGTTTGGGCCCTCCGCTGTGGGTAGGGCCACGCATGTGCTCATGCGCGCGTTTAACTATGGTGTGTCATCTAAGGGCCATCGAGGTCGTGGTTCGGACCGAAACCCCGATGGCCGTCGACTGTGCAATTAGCTAATCGGTGGCTGGGGGCGGTGAGAACCGCCCCGGAACGCGGGTGTACCTTGTGTACGCGTTGTGTTGACTTCTGCTACCGATCGAGTCGAAGTACGACCCTCACCGGCACCCGCGAATCGGATATTGAGTGATAGCCCAAACTGAGGTCCTCTAGGCCCTCTAGGGCGCCTATCATATCAATCTAAAAATGGCTTTTATGTAGTAATTGATACACATACATTTTACTTGAATATGTTTATTCATTATCATATAAATAAAAGCAAAGATTGAATTAAAGGCACGACAAATTACACTGATTGTATTAAGGGAGGTATAATGCAAGCGCTTGCAATTTTGGCATTTACAGAGGAATACAGCATTAGACCGTAACAACTTTTCACTTTACATTCACCACTGTATTAAATTTTTTCCAATATACAGGATGGCTTTTCTAAGTGTATCCATTTTTTTTATTAAATTCTAGACAATGTTATATAAAAATGATAAATATTTAAAATCTCTCGGAAGTAATTAATTACATTCATTTGACTTATCTCAAAAAGTGCGTGATTTATACGCAACTCATTTATTTTACGCGCGATCATCCATAACTAACACGCATACAAGTTCGTGCACAGTAAAATTTAGGTATTTATGAATGACTACCGCATTGTCAACACGTTCTGTTTTTTAGGGAATAGAATGGCATTTTTCAAATTAATTTTTGGAAAATAAAACTTTGTTTTTTATTTAAATAAACGATTATACTACCGAGTCTGAACCTTCTGTCTAAATTTGTGCATTTCTCGAAAAATCTCTGTGTATAATGCTCTTTTCTAAATATTCAGATGTACATTTAAGGGAAAGGCCTTATTTTACTAAATATAACATAATGCAACTAAATCTTAAAAGTTTATAAAAATTAATATGTTTAAATAATGAATGATGATAAAATGTTGATATATTGATTTCTTTTAGCAATCAAGCTTTAACTGACTCTTGAGATTGTCTTGAGGATTGCCTTTTGTGCACATTAGGTTTCCTAAGTCTATGATAATTAGGCATTACTTTGCTTAAAAAGTCCAACTGAAGAAGTTGTGATGGCTGCTTTTCTAATGCTTCCCTATTATGATGCTGTGAACCCCATATCACAGTGTTGTCTGCCAAAGTTTGTGCAGCAGTTAAGCTGCAAGCAGCACCTAAGAATAAACATCAATAGTTACAAATTATTGCCCATGTTGAATAAAACCTAATACATTTTTTGACATGAATAATAGTGTTATTTAAAGTATTTATCAACAATCTTTTAAATCTATGTTAAATAATCATATAAGTTAACTATAGGTGGGGAAAATCTTTTTAGAAAACAGAAAAGCAAGGCACAACTACTATTTGGCCTATATATGTCAATGGCATAGACAGTTTTGAATTGAATTGAAGTCAGCAGTAGGAATTAGTCAAAAGTATCTCTCAGAACATACACATAATAGAATAGATATTTATATATTCTATATACAAGTTTTTAGACAATTTAATCTACAAAATAATCTATGAAACACACAAATGTATGTTTAGTAGATAAATTTTCCAAAAACTTTTTTTCTGTGTGGGTTTGAAAGCTGTAACTTCTAGGTAATGCGTCCAGATGCTATTTTCAACTAATATAAGCAGCTGATGTCCTCACAGGGTAAGATTATCAACAACTATCTGATACAAATGCATTTTAATTGTAAGTGCAAATTAGTAGTAGAAATAAAAAAAATTATAAATATAAGGCCTATGGAAGCCAAACAAAAGAAAGATATAATGGATTATTTCTGTAGCTGAAAATACTTAGTTCATACCAATCACACATCCACTACCAATCTTGACATCAACACCAACAAAGGACCTGCATTCAAACACATTGCTTTCACCAATGTGTCCACATGGCGACTCGAGTCTACATCCTACTTCAAAAACGTTGTGGGCGCCAATAAACAAGGGTTTTGGAGGATTTTCTTGCTTTTCACTCTTTCTAAAATAAAAAAGCAAATTTACAAAATAAGTTGAATAAAGTGTAGATTATATATGTCAACAATATTAATTCATAACTACTTATGAATAATTGTAGAATATTCTTCAATAATACAATATTCTGCTATGATTATTGGCCCACCCTCCGCAATTATTGTCACTCTGGGATGGATTACTGTTCCTCCGCCTATTGTTATGTCACCTTCTAATGTGCAATCTTCGCAAACAGTAGCACCGGGTAAAATCTTTATGCTGTAATATCAATTAATACACAGAAAGGAATAAGACAAAAAACAAAATTTTTGTTTAATTTAAACAATCTTTTCAAGTTACATACTTGTGCGACATATTGAAATCAATGCCTTATTTTATATGTTAAATATAATTACCCCAAACTCTAAATAAGAAGTAGCAGACTTACAAGCAAAATATTTACTGGGTTAACATTAATATCTTTAAATGATTTTTTTATTAACAGCAAATGTTACTAACTAATGACATTGACAGTATTGACAGTGGCATTGCAATTTGCAAATGACGTCATTCGTTTTAAAACTTGAGAATAATTGTACATAAACCTTTAACAAACATCCGTCAATCTAAAATAAAATCAAAACGAATCTGATGATTGATAAACATAAGAATTGTGGTTGATTTTTAAATTATTTTATTGATCGGATTTCGGAGAGAAGTTTAATGACTATTTGGGGAGAGAACTGGATACTTGCAGAGTCCTGAGTCTGATCTGATCTGGACTCCACTGATAGAATAGTTTGTAGATAATTCTCCACTTCTGTTTATCCTGTATTTTTATGGGGGGGTGGGGTTTAGGAGCATTAAGGGAGCCTTGAGCACTAATAGTTGTGTTCTGCTGTTTAGCGGGTATCCTCGACTCGGCCCACCCTACTTGCCCTTTGTAAAAAATACATTGACACAAAATAGTTACGATATTGTATTTTTTATGTGATATTTTACAATTATTGTGACAACTAAACTATTTTTCACTAAAGAAACTGGCAAAGAGTCATCTATTGCCATAGCAAGTTAAAAAAAAGACGATTTTGTTTTTGACTGACGTTTGACAGGAGACAGCGCGCGAAAATTATACTTATAAATAATGGACAATATGACAATTGTTACTTTCATATTTCAAATCTTGGTTCTTCTGTTCTGATGTAATTGGATGTAATTTATATTTTAAAGTACCTATGGAATAAATACCCAAGGAGGAAATATTGTCATATATGTAATTTATTCTTAAGTTCCGTCTACGTAACTAAAGTATAACAATGGATCCCATTTTTACATTTCCATTTCAACCATACACTATCCAAGAAAAATTTATGAAAGAATTGTACTTTACAATCGAAGAAGCTAGATTAGGCATTTTTGAAAGTCCTACAGGCACGGTAAGTTCATTTATTACACACAAGATTATACATTTAATTAATGTTATTCATGTTATATAAAATTTTATTAGGGTAAATCATTAAGTATTTGTTGTGGTGCTCTTCAGTGGTACAAAGATAATAAGCAAAGGACCATTGAAAATATAGAGAAAGAAATTTCTCAAATTAAAGAAGAACTGAAAACTATAACTGGTAAGCAAAAACGTTTATTGATTAATATAAGAGACATCACATGTGTTTATTTAAATGCTATTGTTTATAATTTAATACCTACAGATTCTGAAGACTGGCTAAAAGCCGAATATGAAAAAATTAAAAAGAATCAAGCATTAACAGCATTGCAATTTAAATTAGATAAAATTAAAAAGCATGAAGACTTATATTTTGAAATGAAAAGTAGAGTTAGTAAATTAAAAAATAATATCAACCAGAGGAGTAACGAAAACTACTTTAAGTTTAATAATAAAATCGAAAAAGAATCTGAAAATAATAAGGAAAATATACCAGTAGATCAAGAGGATGAAGATGATGATTTAATTGTTGATAATCAAGATATGAAAAATGACTCTGATAATGAGGATGCTGAAACTGGTATAAAAGATGAAAATGAAAGTATGAATAAGGCAAGTATTGCACAAATAAAATAAAAGTATATCTTAACCATGCTGGAATACAATTACCTATGTACACACCATTAGCACAGTTTTTTTAGTATTTATAATTATTAAAGACTAAAAAAAGTACATACAAAAAGGTGTGGTAGTGTTAATAATCAATTATTAATATTCCTGTTGGTAAGAAAATTCTAATAAATTATGTTTATAATAATGAAGAACATTAAATGTAGGATTGTAAACAGTGACTATGCTTTAATGTATTTATACAGTGTGTCTTCTACTACTATCACCGCGACAATAAATGAATACACATCGTACATAATACATAACGCTACTTGCAAATAATCATAAAAAAATATTAACATAAAAAAATCCATAATTAAAAAAAAAAGATTTTTCAAACAAACTAATTAAGTAAAAAAGAAACAAAATTTGTAACATCCTATACAACTACGACTGATTGATTCATACATTCAGAGACTTTTTCATTTGTTGCCACTGCGCCGCATTACAAGCCTCTCCTAATAGTATGTTTTGTCTCTTAAATTCATTCAACCCATTCATATGCTTTGTGATCTTTACAAATGAACTTTACATTACAGTTTTATACGTAAGGGTGTTCTAAGATTCTTTGTTTTGGAAAATGTGATAACTCTGTAAAATGTTTAAAAATGTAAATCTACTACAATTTTAAAAAGTTATCCTCTATATGTGTGTTCATTTATTGTTGCGATTGTAAAGACACACTGTATATTAATTCTATGTAAACTCATTTATTTAACCTCTGATTGACCCCTTGTGGGCAAATGTAATGCTATAAAGTACTTTGTGGTGAACATAATGATATCTCCGTGGTGCAGTTGCCAAGGTATTAGTTCCATTGCCCACACAGGGTTGTGGGTTCGCTTCCCACACAGGACAATTAATTTGTGTGACCTCCAAAGCATTGTTTTGGATCTGGGTACTCGTAAATGTGAAGTTTATGTTTGTTAAATATCCACAATAAAGGATAATGTTACCCTAAGGTACCCTAAAGTAAGGTCGATCTTAAAAAGAAAACAAAAATAAAACAATATGACCTATTGTTTTTTTTGTTTTTTTTTTGTTTCAATAATGATTGTTTTAAAGTTTAAATTATATTTATTAAATTACAGATATATATAAGCAGTAGGACTCACAGTCAGCTATCTCAATTTATTGGAGAAATAAAAAGAACAGCCTTCAAGGAAGACACAAGAGTAGTGACTCTTGCCTCACGTCAGCACTACTGCATCAATTCTGATGTAGCAAAACTGAAAAATGTTCATTTAATAAATGAAAGGTTATATTTATTTGTTTATACTTAAAATATCCCTAAAAGTGTAGTTTTTAGTTTTGAAACTTCATGAAATTGAGATCTTTACAGATGTCTGGACATGCAGAAATCTAAAACAAATGCAACATCCATTGGTGATGATGGGAAAGTTCTGAAAAAGACTAAGACTAAGTCCTGCTCAGCTTGCCCATATTATAATCAGAATAATATTACAAAACTTAAGGAGAGAATGTTAATTGACATTATGGATATGGAGGATTTGGTTAAAGGTGGTAAAGAATTGAAGGCATGCCCATATTATGCATCCAGAATGGCCTTGGATGAAGCACAGGTTAGTTTATAATCATAGAAACACCTACCAAGTATAACTGACATAGAAGACGATGACGACAGACGAACTGATAGAGAGATGATGTAATACTGTTTCCTAATATCACTAATTATGCACAATTCTGAGCTAGTTTCAGACATGAACATTACATAAGAATTAAAATGGCTTATCCATTAACTGTTTTCTTTTATAATAATTTAGAGTAGCATTTTGTATTTGTGTGTGTTTGCACTTGTGTGCTTTGTATTGGTGACTAAACTACACATGAAATTACATATTATGTAAAGTTACTTCTTAAAAGTACTTCTTCTTAAAATTCAGGTGGTTCTTATAAGCCATGCAGGCATTGTTAGCTCAGGAGCACGGTCGGGTTTTGCACTAAAGTTAAAAGATAATGTACTCATCCTCGATGAAGCCCACGGACTTGCTGCAGCACTGGAAAATGCTTATTCTGCGCCCGTCTCTGAAATACAGCTGTCTTTAGTGAGGACTTACCTTAATTTCTATATAAATAAGTACAGGGCGAGGTTGAGCAGTAAGAACCTGTTGCAGCTGAATCAAATTGCTTTTGTTGTTGGAAAGCTTTTGGGTATGTATTTGCTTTAATAAAAATTTTATTCCAACATATGGTGCAAATTATTTTGGTAGCCCGGGACCTCCTTTATTAAAAGGCCTTTTTTATTAGGCCTTATTACGCATCAGAAATACTAACGGTGTTGCAAATGGCCATGGGCAGCGGTTATCACTTGAACCGCCAGTTCACTTGCCACCTTCTCACATAAGAAAAAACTTACTATAAGAATTCAATTTCCGCTTTAAAGGTTGTTTTTGTCCATATTGCCTTATCCTGAAATAACTATCTGTCTAAATCTAGAAATTAGGATTGATGCTAGAGAGAATTTTAGGCAGATACAATGTTTCTTTGTTAAAAGTGAACATTACTAAAAATACATATATCACACTCCAGGAATGTTGAAACCGAAAACTGAACAAAAGGAACAAAGTGAAACCAAAATATATACAATCGAAGACTTTGTTGTCAAAGCCGAAATTGACCATATAAATTTGCGACCCCTGGTGGAGTTCTGCGAAAGCGCTCGCCTTGCGCCCAAACTCCACGGTTTCTCGATGCGGTACAGTCAACAGGCGCTTGAAGATCAAAATAAAAAAGTTACAGTCAGCCAAAAGAGCTCTTTCGAAAAGTTCATTAGTAATATTTCGAAGACACCTGATAGCAGTCCTATTGAAGAGTTAAACGAAAATATCAAAACCAGTCCTCAGGTAATTATAATAAAACCTACGAATTAACCTAAGAATGAATATTAAGTATTTAAAAAAATATATAATTTGCATATAAACTTTATCTGCATTCAAAGTTCTTTGTAATCATTGCTCCATGCTGAGTGCGGAAGGGAGAGGAGTATTACCCTCTTTTTTGTAACGCGATCTAAGTTGTTCTTTATTTTGAAACGTACGTTAAGTACCACAACCTCACAGAAGACCTGCGTGAAGTAGATGTTTACACTTCTGCATTTTGTCTGGTGAGTTAGGTAGCCCGGGGGATTTATTAAAAGATGGCAACGTATCTGGTCAGTTTCACTGCCCTGAAGAAAGCCGAACACAGTGGTGCGGAAGCAGCTAGTCGATTCTGTCAAAGCTTTTCAAGACGGACACGACCTTCGGTAATGAAGGCCGCGAAAAAGAAGAAGATCACAGTAGGGTTATTAAAAGAGAAACTGAGTTTCTTTGCATCTGCTCGGGTTTCAGACGCCGTCAGAGGGTTCTGCGGGGAGCGCTCTGTACGCTGTGCTGGCGCTGCTCAGGGCTCTGTGCGGACGAAGCGCCGCCGGGCGGGTGGTGGCGCGCCAGGGCTCCGGCCCCTCATTCGACCACCTGCTGCTCGACGCGGCGGACGGCTTCGCCGAAGTCGTCTCCCAGTGCAGATCGGTACGGCCGCTGTGTTTGTATTTTGTGTGGATAGTGTTGGGCAGTTAGTTCTGAGCACTGCAAGATAGATATGTTGCATTCTTCCCTTCCAAAACATTGCTCCTTTGAACTTTTATTGATTAATTGAATCCACAACTCTCGGCGCCGAGGCCAATACTTCGCCAACTGCGTCCTGGAGCAATCAAACTTATGACTGTTACCCACCACTCACTTTAAACGGCTTAATTCTTATTAGTGTTTATTAATCTATGTAATAAAAATAGACAAATACCAAGATGCTGCTTATGTGATTGTTAAAAATTGTTTGTAAATGTAAAGAATTTGAAAAATATCAAGCAGTTCACTTGATGGTAATTGATTACTGTTGCTCAGACATCCACAATGTGATAAAATCAACTTTACTCTTTCCTTTTGTGATTTAAAAAATTGTAGAAAAATGGAGTTTTATGATATCTACTTTTTTTAAATGCATTTTTAAGAAATGCATCATCTAGTGATTCTAGTGTTCTTCCTTTAATTAAAGCAAACAACCACTTTTTTATTTATGATATTTTGCAATGAAAATTTTAAAACCAGGCAGCTTTTCTATTAAAATTTTTAATGTTTAATCATTGTTACCTCTAGCTTGATCAGCACTTAAGATGAAACATAAAAATTTGTAGAAGTATGAAGTTTTTCTCCGCCGTGGAAATAGAAACAGCGACGTCCGGAATCGCTTGCTTTAACCACTAATCTAAATGCATGAGTGCCAACTCGGAAAAAAATCTCACCGTATTTCATCTACTTCTTTTTTCCCTGTTTAAATGTGACCGCTGATGCCTTGTGTGTTTATTGTTACACAAGCACTGCAATACTATTTACACTGGTTTCCGTTGTTCGCAGGTGATAGTGGCAGGTGGCACCATGGAGCCCATAGAAGAGTTCCGTGAACTACTTGCTGGGAACCAACCTCTGGACCTCCGGCTGAACGTCCTAAGATGCGGCCACGTGGTCCCACCGGAGAATGTAGTCGCCCTCTGCCTCTCTAAAGGTCCCTCGAACCTCGCTCTCAACTTCTCCTACGAAACCAGAATGTCCAAAGAGCTGGTAAGACATATTAAAGATTGTGTGAATTAACATGCAAATGGTATACCATTGCAGGGTACATCACAGTTACATCCCGCACCAAGCTAAATTCTGTAATTGTAGTTATGTAAAGTAACAGCTTATATATGTCCCTCCTCTGCAGAGGGTATAGTCCACCACTCGACCTCACTGCAGATTGGTAGACTGACAGATTTTTTGTTATTAAATATATTTTTGTTTTTTATTATTTTATATTTAATGCGTAGTAGTAGTAATAGGGCCACGCAATTTTTCACTGTTGCACAAATGGGCAGGTCCGTCCGGCAACCAATCACACAGAAGACCGGCGTGAAGTGGAAGAGTTATACTTCTGCGTGTAGTAGGCGGGGCCTACTATATCTGCAATGGGTGGCGATTATCACTTAACATATAGTGAACCATACAAATCCGTTTTCCAGGATTTATTTAATATTCTTTTTTTGAAAAGTATATTATAAAAACGCCAAAACCAATACGAGGGAAATCGCGAGTGAAAGCTAGTTTGCAAATTGACGTTAATTTTTAAATTTTTTCTCTAGCAATTGTTCTTTTTTTTAGCTGAACGAGGTTGGTAGAATCTTAAGGAATATTTGCAGTATAGTGCCAGGTGGCGTCGTGTGTTTTCTACCGTCATATTCCTACGAGCAGACAGTGTACGAACATCTAAAGAATAACAAGTTCATCGACGGTATTAGCAGGAAAAAATCAATATTTCGTGAACCCAAATCTGCCACAGAAGTGGACCAAGTAAGTGCTAGAAAATTGTACAAGTTACTCAGTTGCTAAGTAATTAACCAGTTACGTACCCTCAAATTTTGTGATAATCTGGTATTATGATTGCAACTTGTGTATAGGCTTGTCAAAGCTTAATGGCGGTTGAGAAGCGAGCGCCTTGCTTGTAGGTGTGCTCAAAATGAAATTTGAGTGTGAGCTTAATGGAGAACTAGCATCTTCTGGGTACTGTACCTAGACACACTAACCTTAGTTGGTTGCTAAGCGCTTCTCTCTGCAAGTAAATCTCGAGAACTATGTTAGTTTATTTTCATTTTTAGAGAGGAAGAGAATTATTGTGATATTTGGTCAAAACAATATTTTGTAAGTTCAATGTTACTAAATTTCATTGCCCTTTATAAACTTTGTGTTGATACCAAATAAATACATAAACATTGTTACCCCTTCAACATTTGAAAAAGAAGTATTATTTAGAAATATTTCGTAAGAATTTAGCAAAAAAATAATAACCAGCATAAATAAAAATTTGGAGTTGTATGTTAGCAGTGAAGCATGGAATAGCATATTTCATTAGCAGTAACAACAGTATTTAATATGTTACAACATATGAATAGAATTTCTTAAAAGAAATGAAATTATATTTGAATGATATTTTTTCATACTCTCAAAGACCCAGAGGGTATGTGTGTAGAATGGAATGAAAAATGTTGACCATATTTTGTCTCATTAAGTTACTGCTAAACAAAACTAATCTATTTTCTTCGTTCTCTCCTTAAGAGGTAGGGTTAAATGGTGTTAGAGCTCATTTATTATTTAATTTGCAGGTATTGCAGAAATTTGCCACAGTAGTGAGAAACAAAGATGCAGATCGCAATGGTGCTTTACTGCTAAGTGTGGTTGGGGGAAAACTGAGTGAAGGGTTGAATTTTAGGTATGTTCTAGATCTAGAGAATAATTTGAATACGCGCCTCCTAGATTTACAGATTCGGCAGCACTAAAAATTTACCTACAAATATTTAGGTTAGTTTTATCTTAAGCACAGATCGATTAACATTGAAAATTAAATTACAATAACAAAGTCAACATGACATCTCTATTTTTCAAATATTAATTGTAAATGTTATTTGCGAATGTGTGATTTTTGTCAAGGAATCACATTAGATAATGCCAAACATGCCAAACATGCCAAAAAATAACTTAATATGTAGTAGATAAGACGTCGATTTTCGGTGAAGATGTCGGTTTAACTTAGTGGCATAAATAACTACAAAATCTGCTCTTCTTTTATCATTAATATTAATTCTACACAGTGATGATCTGGGCCGGTGCGTCATTGTTATTGGTATGCCATACCCTAATATAAAGTCTCCAGAGCTGCAGGAGAAAATGAGATATCTCGATAGAAAAGCGGGCGGGAATGCTGGCAGTATGTACTATGAAAATTTGTGCATTAAAGCTGTAAACCAGTGTATTGGTGAGTATTAGTATTTGTTTAGTTATTACTGTGTACATATGTACTAGGTTGTTCAAATTGAACTTTATAACCACAATGACGAAGACAATAAGCCGGCAACTTTGATGAACTGAATGGCGTGGTGGGTAGTGTACCTGCCTCCTGCGCCATAGGGTGTGGGTTCCATCCCGCACTATCGGTAAAATATTGTGTGAAGAACAGTGTTTTTCTAGTGTCTGGGTGTTTATATATGTATACTATTTATTTATATACAAAAGAAAAGTATGTTAAAGTATGTTTATTAATTATCTAGTAAAAGCATTGCTTAGTTTAGGACTAGAGAATGGTGTGTAAAAATTTGTCTTAAAATATTTATACTATCAAGTATCAAGCTATTTTGGACATATTTGTTTTATTTGTTCAAACTTATATAAGTCTTGGCAAGTTGGTTTTAGATGGTATTAATTTTTTACCAATATTATATCAAGTCTCAACCATGTGTGAAGCCTGTCTTTGGCCGCAAGTTTATACACTTAATAAACTTAAAACCCATAACCCGCGCGTTTGACGCTATGATTGCTGCAAAATCGCCCATATTTATTGCATGTGACTATATCTAGAATAAAAATCTTAGATAGACATCTATTTATAAAAACTATCTATGCATATATGTTGTTAAATAAATAAAATGTAATTATGTCCATTATTTTTCTTTAGGTACTAAAGGCTATTAGCAGAATTAGCGGTAAGTTAGGGTACCCAAGTAGTGTGATATTGTGAGCTTAATGTGTGTTTTGTTGTTAAAAGCTTGTCATTTTAGTAAATGGTTGGGAAATTGAATCAGTTAATGACAGGACTACGGGTAAATGTATCTTTGTATGCTGTTTCCACCTCTTTTGAGATAAAGCCTTTCAGTCATAAGTAAAGCTAATCTCTGATGTTTGAAAAGTCGTGACTAGGCCCACGCAGCTGTTTTCGTTGTTACACGAATAGGCAGGTCTGCCTGGGTAAGTACCATGACCTCACAGAAGACCAGCGTGAAGTGATAGTATTACACTTTGCGTTTCGTCTGGTGAGTGAGGTAATTGAGACTCACTTTTATATCCACAAGAAGGTGGCAAAGCGTCTGCAACCCTAGAGGGCGGCGGTTATCACTTAACAGGTGAATCGTCAGCTCGTTTGCCACCTTCTCATAAAAAAAAACATCACCATTAACCAAATATGTGCAAAATGCATAATATGTATAACCTACCATTCTGATATAATCTCAGATTATAATCATCATAATATTTGGGGCAGTGTTTTAACAGTATTCAATCACCATGTAACATGTCACATATTTCCATTAACAACTAGGCAAACCAATTGTTTGTTAAATTTACTAATTTCAACCAATCTCTACTCATGATTAATTTTCTTGGAACACTGGTTAGTTCTTACCCCCTCAATTAGTAAGCAATGAGAAAAAAACCTTATGTTTAAAAACTCGTGTTTAAAAAAAAAACATTCCAGACCGTGACCCAAAGTGATTATTAGAATATATAATCAATGCGTCTATAGGCTCTTTGTAATCTAATCATAGATGGGCCTTAGCTTGTAGGTTGCAAACATATTGAGTATTTTATAATTGTATAGATTTCTCAATTCATCTCAATAAAATAAAATGGATCCCTTTCATTTCAGTTCACACATATAAATTAACTTGTACTTGGTACTTTGTTGAGAAGTTAAACATGATTTTATTACAGGTAGAGCTGTAAGACATGCAAATGATTTTGCATGTGTGTTACTGGTAGATGAAAGATACTCAAGACCCCAAACAACATCAGCACTACCTTCATTTGTTCAGGTACAACAACTTGATCATTTTTAACTTAAAATTTTACTTAGTTTGGTTGAACCTGCACAAGCTTTGACAATTTCCTCCTACATCTCATGTTACTGCCGTGATTTAAATGTATTATTTTAAATATAATACTTTCTTTACAGAAATCATTAATGACCAGCTGCACATTTGGCCAAACTATTGGTAGCATTGCTAGGTTTTTTTCAAAGCATAAAGAAAATAAAAAGTGAAAGTTGTATTTATAGAGACTATTAAATTATAATATTTAAAACCACAAAATATAGTTTTTTTTACATATATACATTTTCCCTTTCATTTAATTTAATAACCTACACCTACATACTATAAAACAATAATAATGACTGTGTTCATAACCTAATAATATTTAAAAACTACCATTGATACTATTGAAATATTTTCATAGAACAAAATGCTGATAGAAACAGATGCTGGTACCGTCTGGGTAATTTTCCATGTTGCATTAATTTTGATTCACGTTTATAAATCATAATTATATAGCTTTCACAGGATCTAAATATATCAAAATGATCTTTTTTAATTTAAGTATAATTTGCTCTTAATCAGACAGAGCCTCTGGTAAAGTTGTACCACAGGGACCTTCAAAGTAAAAGTGAAAGTCTGGGGTAGCTGGTGTGGGCTCTATGTTAAATTCAGCGACAATAGCTCCTCTAGAGGCGGCTTGCGGTGCAAACATCGCTGCTGGGTACACAACTGATGATGTACCGACCACAAGGCATACATCACATGTTGCCATGGCTGCTTCTGAAATAATAAATAATTTGTGTATCTTAGTACATATATGTGAACCCCTTTGCCTCCCACAAACATGTATAATATAAAACAGCGTGTCTTTACAATCGCGACAATAAATGAAAACACGTCTAACGCTACATGCCAATAATCATAAAAAATATTAATGTTAAAAAAAATATTTTTCAAACAAAACAATTAAGTAAAAAAGTAACAAAATTTGTAACATCCTATACAACTACAACTGATTGATTCATACATTCAGAGACTTTTTCATTCGTTGCCACAGCATCGCATTACCAGCCTCTCCTTCTAAAAGTATGTTTTGTCTCTTTCAAATTCATTAAACCCGTTTGTAAATTCATTAAAACCATGTTGTGTTTTTTGTGTGACCTTTACAAATGAACTTTACGTTAAGGATTTTCTAAAATTCTTGTTTTGGAAAATTTTATAACTCAGTAAATATTGATGTTTAAAGAATGTAAATGTTTAATACAATTTTAAAAATGTATCCTCTATATGCATGTTCATTTATTGTCGCAATCGTAAAGACACTGTATATTCTACCAACTATTAAGTACCTATGTAACACCAACTCAGTTAAATAACTTTATGTAGTATAAATTTTTTATAAGAAATTTTCAATAGTGTGTACCTGCTCGTTCTAAGACTGCATGTTCCAGACTTTCTCCAAACCAAACAATATGTGGTCTCAAGAGTCCACTGCAATTGGGCTTTTTACAATGCGGGAGTGACTTCACTGGTATGTCGGAACCAACTATATTCACATCTGGAGCTCCTCTGTCTGCTAATGCCTATTAATATGCAAGTGTTTTAAGTTTTACTTTAAAATAACACAGTTACAAAATTTTGTGTATATGCATCAAAAAGTTTTGTAACATTGTGATGTCTATTGCTATAATTCTAATTGTTATAACATGCAACATCAAAGTGTAAGGCCTGGCTTCAATATGAAATATAATATTATAAACTGATTGTTTGCTGCATGTTTATTAGCCATTATATGTTTTTTGCAATTCTTTGGATAAATGATATTTTGAAATATGAGTAGGAAAGTGATGAATATTAATATATGGTATTTAGTAGTTAAAAATTGTGTTAAATTTTATACAGTACCTCACATATAGGACTGTCTTTATTTACAAGGACTTCTTTGCATTTAGTGCAACGAGTCTTATATAGGTTGCCATGCAATTCTATCAAATTTTTTGTGCCCGCCCTTTCATGCAGTCCATCAACATTTTGCGTAATCACTGTTATAATCTTTTCTGTTCCATGTTTTGACTCATAATCTGCAATTGCTTTGTGACCCTGCAATAAATAAAACACTACCACATGTAACTCTGCATTATGTATGCTTGTGTATAAAAAAAAGTAAAATATCGTAACAGCCTATAAATGTTCCACTGCTGGACAAAGGGCATAGTCCACCACCCGATCCCACCAGATTGGCGGACTTTACATATTTTCGAAATATTTTTTTTTTCATTATTATTTAGAAAATATGCAGGTTTCCGAGTAAAAGTGAGCGCCCAGACACCGAGCATGTATGTGTATGTACAGAGAAAAACAATTACATTTACTTATAATGAGGCCACTACTAAAAATACAGTATTGTGTATTATTTAAAATAAACTACACAATGTTTGCCACATTTTCAATTTGTGGCATGAAGCATTAAGAACATGATGATAATCATAATGCTTAAAAATTTTAATTTACTCTTGAATAGCCTATGGCCCCACATGTTAAACTGGCCCTTATCTATTCGGAAATCATCTTGACCAAATGTCTACTCGCCTCCAAAGCGGCAGTGACTGGTTTAGTAAATGGAGATGATGTGTATCTTAAAAATACCATAGAGCCGATACAACCTAAAAGGCCGGCAACACATTTGTAAGCCCTCTGGTGCTGCAGATGTTCATGGCCAGCAGTCATCACTTACCATCAGGTGAGGAGCCTCCTGCTTCAATCCTATTGAGGAAGCGGACCTACATACCCACAATATAGTGCTAACACAAACAGTTCCTTTTCTCCTCGTTTACGAGCACGTCAAACCCAAAACAAAGCGGTTGGTTTGTCGATGGCATTCTTCCCTAAGATAGCACACGCGTGAGCATATGCACAGCACTGCCAAACGTCGAGGGTTGCATCAAACTCGTGAGATCTGGCCGTCAAACAAGCTGTGCGTTACATGAAGCTTTAATAGTTTACAGCTAAAGTAAGATCATTAGTCAAAGTAAAATAAATTACTATTAAAGCAATATAGCAAGGTGTATTTACCAGATTTGGTTGAGCTTTAGCTGCAACTTCTCGTCTATAATGATAAAATTCCCAGACCAAACTTGGGTTGTTTCTAAAAGCTTCAGGGGTTGCCAAAGATGAAGCCTGATATTTTCTCCAATAGCCACCGGCTCCTCTAAATGTAGGAATTCCTGATTCAGCGCTTATACCTGCCCCGGATAAAATAACAACTTGTTTAGAAGCCTTTAAAGCCTCTTTAAATTTTGCTATATCACTCGATTGTCTAGCAATCATTTTATGTGTTGCATATAATCTACTTTTATTTTTCCAGAATGTTCTTAATAACAATGTACACATTATAAAAATACGAAAATAAGTAGATTTAGAAAAAAATGAAAACATTATGTTCAAAAACCAAAATTCATCAGTGACGACAATTTCTATTTAAGATTTCTGCATATCATATTTAACTTCGTTTTTTTTTAAATAAAGCCAAGCAATGACTTTATTTAATACATATTATGTTACTGTTTTCCTATTTTAGTAATAAAATGTTTAGTATAAAAAATAATTTTTGGTATATAATTATGACACAAGACATCTAGGTAAATATATTAAACTTTTGAACGTAACAGCCAAAAGTATCTTGGAATACCTGTCACAACTGTCAATAGTTTCAACAATAGGGATGTATTTAATTTACGAATAGTCGTCTTATCGATTATATTATCTGTTTTATCTGTGGTAGGGCCACGCAACAGTAGCAAATGAATGGGGAAGGCAATTTCGGCGAAATGCCACGACCGACGTTAAGTAGATGTAGATATTAGAGTTTCTGGATTTCGTTTGGTGAAGTAGCTGGGGTTCACTTTATTAAAAGGTGGTAACGCAGGTGCACTCCTACGGGTGTAGCAAATGTCCACAGCTATTACTTAACATCATGTGTACTGCTAGCTAGCAGCCATGTTTTCACTTTAAAATAAATAACTGAAACACTTTTTATTAAAAATGGTTTATTTTTTGCAAATGATGGATTTGTTATACTGTTAATTTTAATTTATTGAATTGAAGCATTATACGACAATTTCGTTAAGAGATGTTAATTATTTTAGGAGTTAAGAGCAATTACTACCATTTGCTATATTCTAAAGCTCAATTATTAATTTGGAAAAATCGTTATAGATCGCGTGGTAAAATTTAGACGAATGTTCTAAGCTTTTGAAGATGGTAACTATAGTCCACAGAATTATCTATGTACCTATTAAACTTATTGTGAATACTGAAATAGAAAATTGATATTTCATAAATAAGTACAGAGTTTAGTCAATTGAAGAGGAAGAATAGAACGTTTAGTTCGTTTACTAACGTCGGGCAAGCGCCGTCTGCTAAAATCAGCATTCTTGAGAATCGGAAAACAAGTAGACTAAATACAATGTCTGATTCGTAGTGGTGTAATTTTGTAACAACAACGTTTTTTCATTTGGAAAATAATCCACCAGTTCTTCCTGCAGCAGTGTCTTGTTTATCGGCAATTATGGTATAGTGGCTGGTAGCTTCAATCGCCATTCAATATGATATCGATTAATCTTCTTTTCAGATATGGAAGTTACGAAGAAGCTTCGTAGCTTAAACCTGCCGACGCGCACACTTCAGCACCATTGCGGTATTTTAATGGATACAAGACGCTTACACCTGTACGCTTTGTGAACGAAACCATTGACGTCATAGGGTTGGCGCATGCGTGTTAAAAAACGTCGTCATCGCGAAAGTTACAGGGTGGTACTATCAACAGAACGCGGCACGCTTGTTCGGCAGACGGACGATTGGGCCATTGCAAATAAGAAGTTCGCGGCGCGGGAAACCACTCACCGGTAAGTGACAACACTAATTTATCCACAGATAAAGTTGTTTTGACCCTGCGCGTCATTAGCACAGAGTAAATTTAAATTACCTTAAGCGACGTTTAAGTTTATCAAAACATAACTTATCTCGCTACATGTTTTCGTTTAGAATTATCAAATTATCGAAATATTGCACGATAACACAATTTTCATGTCAAGTGCGGAAAGGCTTTTTGAAATGAAAGTGTTTTATGAAAAATTATAAATCTCGAAAAAAGATAAATTCTTATTATATTATTTACTTTCGATTATTGTAAAATAAAAATATTAAAGCAATTCCATTTAGTACCTACACTATCGGATAAGAATCTACGACCTCTGAGAACTACGCCAGTAACAAGGCCATGACTATTTTTTTTAATTTTAACAAAATAGAAGTAGTTTCATGATAAAAAAGTACAGAGAGTACAAACAAGTACACCTGTGCAAATGTGCGGGAAGTCGATGGTTGCTGGTGGCTCAGGATCGTACTTCGTGGTAGTCTATGGGGGAGGCCTATGTTTTGCAGTGGACTCAAACAGGCATGAATGAAACAAGTACAGAGAAAGTTGCGGCCATGAAATTAAATAGCATTCATCTTACATCCAGAAGAATCTTAAACTATTTAATTTTTTTTTACTGTCGGATCATAATAAAAATAATTGCATAATTATTATAAGGAAAAAAAGTTTAGCCTCTATTATTTATTATCATAAATATTGGTGATTAAAGATTAGAATTTACCGAATTTTTTTAATTAGGGTTATTTTAATATAAAGCTTTGTTTTAAACGACGCCTTCGTGTTTTATTGACATCAGCGGTGCTCTTGGATCGTCTTTACACTAGTGATCTTTGCAGATTTTCTGTTTAACACGAATAAGTAAAACGCAAACACACATTAAAAATTACCACTATCAACAAGGGCGGGATGAAGAGATTATAGATATCCATTTAGCTAGATGTCGCCAATTTCGCATTGTTTAAAATGCGAAAAAACAAAGTAGATAAAATACTTTGAGATTTTCGTCGGAGTGGCAATCAGTCATATCATGCTTAAAGCGTCTGAAAGATCGGAAAATGTGGGCTTGATTCCTGCGGTGGCGATATTCTTTTTGTCTATTTACAGTTTTTTTTTAAGTTTTTAGTGTAGAGATTAGCACTAACGTAGCAATTATATTTTTTTATGGTAATCTTATGAATGTATAGTTTTTGGCAGTGCAATTCTTGATCTCGCTTGATATCCACCAGATAGCTCTCAATAAAAGTTTTATTGCTTGTCTTTCGTATCATCGTATGGTTATAGAAACAATATCCAATAAAAAGGTTTTATATGTCTGTTTGTTATGCAAATATTTAAGAGTTAACCCTAACACAGAGCAAAGTCGAAACGATGAAAATTTAAAATACCTAAATTAAACTTTATTAAATCTATAATTCATTGCTGCCAGGAAGTCAGACTTAAGCGATACATAGCACACCTCTGGACAAATTTATGACTACAGTAGCTTTTTTAATATGGCAATAACACTAACAGATGCTATTTCTGTCTAATATAGCATTAGCTTACCTCGATTAAAATCAATTTAACATTACCAGGTGTGTATTCCGTTGGTAAAAAAGTCAAAAATTCTGTATTAGTGCACGCTTGCTTGGTCAACGGTCCTGTAGTTGTAAGATTGGTCTACCAAAGAAAATCTTAAGTACCACAGATACTGTATTTTATGTAATACGCAATTAGGCTAAGGTACATATGTGAAGTGAAGTATGTGAAAGCATGTTTCAGTAGAAATTTAAATGAAAATAAGGAATCCTACAAGAAAATAATCCGCGTTTCAAAATATTACCCAAGCAATGACCTCTTTAATGAACAATGATCATTGAAAATTCTTACGAAACAGTGTTATAAAAATAACTTATATTATTTTGGCTTGCTGTAAATTTAAAACATTTTGTTCAGACGTGTATATCATGTACCGTTACATAATTTGTAAGCAGTCGCAACATAGTGAAGCTCTTGTGACGAAGGGAAAAAGATTACCTTTCAGGGAGAAGTTTAGACGTTAAGCTCTCTGAGCAAACATTTTACAATAGCATATTTCGATCAACGTGAAAAGACATACATATTCTATATATTTTAATACATCCCGTCACATAAATATTCTGTTTTCGAACACTTCCCCTTAACAGATTTCATTTCGTGTTGCAACCTTTAGTGCATAAACAATCTCCCATTTATTTTTATGAAATTGACAGAAAAATTCGTGTAGGTGCAGCCATCTGATATTCGGTGGTATCGACGTTATTTTAAAATTCATTTAACAAGAACAGAACGCTCGGCCTAAATCAAACTCGATAACTCAGCAAATACGCCAACTCGAGCGTCTGTAACATAATTATAAACGTTTACAAGGATACCTACATCGTCATCATCATCTTCCTGCCCTTATCCCACCTATGTGTAATGACATGTGAATCACAGAGTTCTTAATACTACAACATACGTAGGTAATTGATCACGAGGTGGACTATATGTTCGCCACTGCCGCCAACTATTAATAAAGTAAATCAAAGGGTCTTTAAGAGTCTAGAAGCCTTACAGACGCGGGTGACCCCCATCCTAAGCCATCGTCTCTGAATGAGCGTTACGATAAAGGGAAAAATTCCAAATAGCGCCGTCTACGATAAAGGACAAAAGTCCCTAATTCTATTTTACCGTTGACAGACCTATTGTAGTACTCGTTTAATATTTATAGACGTAAAAAGTAAGGTTTACTGAAGTATGAAAAATCATACTTAATAATACCGATAATTTAAATTAAATAACATTCAAAAAAGAGAGAAAAATATTTTTCTTTTTGTTTTGTAAATTAGGACACTGACGCCCGGTTTCTGAAACACTGATCATCGTAGAAGTCAACTAATCAGCTGTCAAATGGATTTTCAAATGTTATTTAATTTGCCAAAAGGATTGTTATACTCTTTGAATTGATCAGAATGATCTTCTTAATGATAAGAATAATGTGTGTGAATAGTGAGAAATGCGTGTGAGTCAAATATGATGTGAGTAACATGCAGACGACCGTATAATTTCTTTTTGACTCTTACTGTAGAATAACTTAATACTTCTACTTCACGTCGGTCTTCTGTGTGGTCGTGGTACTTCCCAGGACGGACCTGACCATTCCATAAATTATAAATGTTGCAGAAATTAACCTAGCATTCGGTATATTAGATTTAAATGTTTCTTTTAACTTTAAGTTTAATTCACTGAACCGACGCTTTGTAACTTTAATTAACGTGATCCCAAAGGGAGAGCAGAGTTTAAGAACAAAAAATTAATCGAGGGTAACCTTGTCCTTGCTTGATTAAAACGTGCCAAGTACATTCATCAATAACGGCTTTTAACCATATTT